GATATACGTGTTCAATGAATGTAACTATCGAGTAATCGGAGGCAGTGGTTTTCGGTCGAATAAATACACGAAAAATAATTCAAGATCCGAGTTTGTTGGGCGGTAATTGGAACGCACATATCCATTGAGTCATCGGCCTATACTTCAATCTAAGTGACTGAAGTAGGAAGGATGGCAAGTATCGATTTCATGTGTGATTAAATAACCGGTACATACGGTTTCAACTAGTCATCAAATAAACGTGAATATTATCAGGTTCGTCTTATATTGTTTTACTACTCAACTAATTTAAATCTAAATTTGTCAGTTCTTTCGATGTTATTTTGTCATCAAATTCATGCCGCATAATCATTTTGCTCTACTTATAAATGTTCATTCTTGGGTTGATTCTATGATAATTTTTTGAGTGGTTTTTTTTCTTATTTTTGACATTTCATTTTGTGAATTATTTACTTTGCATCATGATTTCATTTCAGCATATTTTGAATAGAATATATGTTCAAGATTTTTTACTTTTACAATGTCTATTCATATATAAGTTAATCATCTACTCATCGGTGTAATTCTTATTTAGTTTTTTTTTCAAATTTAATTTTCCCCCTTGAAATTATTCGGAAGCAAGCTAATCATTTCAAATAACGTATGTTTTATTCATTCATTGAATGAATTAAGTATCTTTTTACATCCAAAAATTTCCATCAGCCGATATTTCACTCTTCATATGATATTTTGTGAAGATGAACCACAATTATAAAAAATCGCACAGTGAGATAAGACATCCAGCCTGTTGTTGTTGCTTGTTATTCATCCATTTACATGACTACATACAGTTCATCCCCCATTTGAAATAGTTTTCTGTGGAAATGTGCAATACAAAACACTTTACTTGTAAACTTTCAGTGGTACACAGTTCAAATTTTGCCCACAAATTATTGTCTGAATGTGTGATACAAAATTACCATTCAAATGCGGAACAAATCATCCTACTAATAATTATGTTTTGGCCATGCTACATTCTAATTTATAACGCAGACTAAAGAATCATCTTGACAGAATTTCATCCCTATTTGAATTCGCACTGAAACCTCGGTGTCAGGATTAGGCTTTCTGTCTTATATGAACAGAATATTATATGGAGATAATAATTGTTCTTATTTTATCGTTGGCTGTTAGTTACGTATCAGGGAACATTCACTTGAATATGTGCATATGACAGTATATAGGTTGCTTGATAGAATATCTCTATACGATTCAATGTGTTTCTTACATCAACTATTGTATAACTATCTTCAGTTTTCATATCAGTAACGCTTCATTCGCATCGTCTAGACTGCAAGTCATCCGTCAGTGTCACAATCAAAGTAACTGAATTCTGTTAAAATCTTGATTTACTTGAAAAAATACGATTCTTCATACCAATGAAAAAATCTCGTTCAAAATGATTTTGATCAACGCTTCATCTGTTTGAGGTAGATGACAAACATATATCGGCTGGAAGCCTATTGAAAATAATAAAATTCAGTCAAACATTTTCGCTTTTTCTGACCTACGACATGGTCAGATTATACACTTAGCAGAACAGCCTGTAAAAAGCTTTCACTGCAAGTGACCATTCTGCTCAGGTACGTGTTTTTACATTCAGCGAAATAACGTTGACTAAAATACGTGCTTTAAATTTTTCCTGAAGTTGACCACTAAGCAGGATAGAGTCAGGTTTCCACCATACACATAGTTAGTAAGAAACTACTTTATATAGTAACATTTCGGTTAAACAAATTTTGTTATCATAGATCGTTAGTGTTTTGATTATGCTTGAACGTAAAATAAAACAGGTAGATCGTTTATCAGAATGAATATGATCATCATGATTTGAGAGAGAGAATTCAATATGCTGTATCGGAATAACGTAATGTAGAGAATACCATGAATGAAGAGCGAATTACTCTAAAGAGGTAGATCTTGTATACTTTTTCATACGCTACTGGCAAAGTGGATGGAATGAAAATGTATTATGATGTCATTGCAATCGAGAAACTAGGAGAGCGAATATAAAATAATTGTGAAGTTATTTAGTAGATATAATAGAAATCATGTCATGGATGAAGGGACTATAAACCAATACAACTACCTGTGTTACTAAGAAGTTTACATGTATAATTACCTGACTGACTATATCACATGAGTCTCTTCTACAATTCGTCAAACATTATTTGGTTTACCTAAAATAATTGACCATAATCGTTTTATTCTTTTTATCGCTTCAGTAGTAAGTTCAGTTATGTTATGAAACACATCTTCACAGTTATCAATTTGAACAACAAAAATCTGTTTGTTTTTACGTAAAATCATCATTGATTATCAGACACACATTAGTCTACGATATCTGCTCTAAAATATAGTTCAATTTGACTGGTTAAATCTTCATTTTATGTTTTAATATTATTCGACCAATCAACAATGTCCACAGAAGATATAAAATCACTGGATCAGAAAGCGGTTTTAGCGAAAATGTATTTCTCAATAATACTTTGTATCAACGTGTTTCTCATAAGAAGTCTCTGTTCTGAAACGAATGGATGTAAGTGAAGATCATTTTTATGCGGGTTATTTCATTATTGATGTGACATATTACAATTTGTGCAAGTCTTATTTCTGAAATAAATAATGAATTATAATGTGGTTTTTAAATATCATGTGATTATCTGTAGATAATTTTGTTCAAATTCACAGTTTTCGTGAATTTTAAGAATATAATTCTTGTTGTTGATGGTTTACTTGGTAGATAAGCATGCGTGTCAGTTGAAGCGAAAAACGCTGACATGATTTACTGTATAAACTATGTTTATGGAGTGGTAATGAGATGCAAAAGCAACCCTAATAAAAATAACCGTACATTCTTCTAATCTGTGCCTCCAGTTTAACTGCATTGAAGCATGTCAGGAAACATCTCCAATGGTAAGGTACTTAGATCTGAATATCAGCTCATCACTACACAGTAATATTGACCGCCGAAATCGCTTTGATAAAGCATCAAAGGTTTAAGCCGTGACTTTGTTCTCCAGTGTGCCTTTTGATTACCATATCTTGTACCTGATTTTCTGAATAGTGCAAGAACCATTGGAGGGAGACTATTATGAAGATGAATCGCTTAAAACGTTTGCACAAAGTTTGCGTCAGAATTTAGGTAATTAACAGATATTTTTTCACGTTTTCACAATGCTTACAAGTATTATTATTACATATTTGTTATTCCTTAACAATGTTTTTTTGGGGTGATGAACTTTGAAATAATTCCGCACTGCAGAGTACACTTTATTTACATAAGTTTATCTTAAGATTTTCTGCGGGACAGCTATTTATGTTCTTGCCAGAAATACATATAAACTAAGCAAATTAAAACAGCCGTCAGGAACCCGCTGTCATATTGCATTTACCACTCGCTCAAATACAAACTGTGAGAGTACACGAATACACTAGATATTTTTCTTCGCGTTGACACTATAAGGCACCTAATAATGAAGTCGTAACTAGATGAATGAATGAGTACTATTCCTAACTATTAACTTCTGTGAGACTTTATCTCCATAAAAAAGTATTACATACAATCTCAACTGGAAACAGAAATCTAGAGCAACGCAATTACCGAAACCAAACTTTGAACTAGATCAGATGAGTTTACGTCAATTTTTATTCAGTTATTAAACCTCGCAAAAATTCAACAAACACATTTTTCATTTTGCACTATGCATAGAGACTCTTGGGCGCGTCGGTAATGACTTACTTGACGCTAAGCGGAAATTAGCAAACAAAATTGGTAATCTAAAATCCAACGTTTTTCATTTTCATGCAACTTATTATTATCTGATATATGCATATTTGTTTAACTGTACGATACTACATTCACATAACGATTGTATCACTGATGTTCCTGTTGTTGCGTTAACGAATATAAAGTTTTAGGTGTTTGTTTTAAGAACGTTTTCATTCTAGAAAACAATGGATATACCAATGCAGTGGACTGCTATTTCTTTTTTACTTTAGTTTTTACGAAAGTATGCATCAACAACAGAAGCAAGTGTATGCACATGTTCACTAGTGACAAATAACAGATTTAAATAGTCCAGCGAATCAGGTCGTGTACTACCAAATATTATCAACAGTTTCAATTGATATTGTTTTTCGAACTACGTTGTAACATGAACAAGACTGATGAAAATGATAAAAAGGTCCGAAATAAGAGCAAAGTATTATAATCAAAATTTTACTTGTTAACGAACGCCGCAGAATTTTCATTAAAACATGTGAGAATACTCAACATTCAGCAACATGAGATGACTTCTTTCACATACTCGAAATGTAACTCTTTTCTTAACGTCAACTATTTTATTGTTGTATTGTATTTTGGATCCATTTTTTCTAGAAAGAATCAATCAGGATCTAAAACCTAAAAAGATGAATATCGACGAGTGTATGTGCTTCAAATTTTGTGATTCATTCATTTGTTTAATCTAGTTGTTGACTGTGCAACTAAGGTAGCTGAACATATAGAAAACCCGAATTTATTGGAAAGTAATTACTGAAGTATTCTTTTGAAATTTTATATTTATGTTTTTCTTATTACGTGAGTAAAATTTCATGTATATAATGGTAAAGCCTGATGATAATCAAATCAAATTTCTTGTGACTCTCGACTTTGGAAGAGTAATTGATGCATTCACTGTTTTAATGCTAATGATACTGATATTGAGCAATATGGTGCACTGATTTTTGAACGCATATGAAACAGGTTCTTATAATATTAGCAAACTTAAACATGACGTGATGCATGGAAAAACGTCACTCTTTGACAGAGAATGTTCGCAAAAGACCTGTTTGTTTATAGTTTGCAATGTAAGTGACGGTGACGATCTGCTGTAAATGAACTTACTACGTATTTTTTCTAAAGCTGTTAAATAAATCTTAGTTTACCCATTTTATTTCCCCTAGGTTCTAATAGAACGATGACTAGTTATCGAGTGCTTTACGACAGTAAGTAATTATGTGCGATATTTCATACATGAACATAAGGTATTCCAGATATTTCAATTATTACTTCTGTGATGCATTCAGGCTGATATTTTTTGCAGATAAACCTAAATTTATGTTACAACATTTTATTCATTTATGCTGCATAGCATTTAATATCGAGAAACACGAAAGATGGACAAAATGCTTCGCTAAAGTCGATAAGAGAATTCAAGGTATGATTTAGGAATAATATCATTACCAGTTTGATATACTTAGCGGATTTATTTAAACGTAGTAAATTATAAATTATTTTGCGAAGCTAATTCAGTAACAGTAACACTGTATGTTGTTGACAGAGTTATCTTATCACAAAGTATATTGAATAATCTCAAAAGTGTATGATGACTAGAATATGAGAAGATAAATACGGATTTGTGATAATCCATAGTTATTTGATATTTCTTGTCTGACGTACATTCAAAAGTCAAGTGTTGACAGAGGCAGCTAATGGTAGGTACAGTGAAGCTTTTTTGATCAACTGTTTAGCATTTAAAACTTGTGAGACTCAAATGAATAGCAGTTAATGGAGACAAATTTACTTAAATAATAACGGCATTCATAACATCAACCTACTATTTATATTTGTACAGAAGCGGCAAAAGGTCTCGACTTCGAAAAATGCATAGAACGTGCACCACCCAATGTTCTAGGTAATGTTTTATCAGAATTTTTTTATCGATTTTTTTATTACATGGTAATTTCATCTAAACACACAACCCTGTATCAACAAGTTCACTTGATTGAAGGTTTTTTTGACTGTCCCAATTTTCAATGAACATATATTCTGAAGTTGTTAGAATTAATATTAAAATGCATTCTAGACACCGTATAAGAATACACTGCGAAAAAACCTTTTATATCATACGGTTATAGCAAAAATAAACACAGAAAACAGATGACTTATTTTTCATTCTGTTCGCTCTTTGAACTAAATTGGGGAAGATTTATATGAGCTGTAGCTTTGAAAATTCGAAAACATATAACAAAATCTTTCTTTTCAGTCTTCCAAATAAAATAACCTCTATGTTTCACAGTGTTTTAAGCTCCACTAAATCTGATGAGTGTTCTGTTTTTATTAATGACTGTAATTTGAGAGGATTAGAACATAAATCAAATAAACTGCAGTACACGCAAATCAAAACATACATCAATGCTACATATCGGTTGATTGACGATATGTGTTGTATTCACCTATTCGAATAGGAATGTTCTATGTAAAAACGATTTGGATTCCATTCAATTTCATTCAGTTACACATAATTTAGAAAAATTAAAACATCCGTTGAAGGTGACTACTATTTTTCTTTACCTCAGATCGAATAAGTTTAGAAAATCTGTTTGCATCTGTGAAGTTTTTTGAACAAAAAAGAAGTTTATATAATAGCCGAATAAGTACGTCATGCTCAAATGAATCTGATTTGTTGTTAACAATTGAGGCCTTTTTTTCAATTCGAATATCTGATTATATATCACTAAATATTTATGAGTCTGTTTAATGAAATATTATTGCAAATTTTCGTTGATAAAAATGTAATGGAACTAGTTGAGACGGTTTAATAAATGACAAGCAAATTATAAAACCTGTCAACTTATCATCAATTTCGATTTTCTTTTTCAAGTTTCTTTTATCACATTTATCCTTTTGATAGGCAAGTATTTTACGGATATAGAAGTTCTACGTGAATGGAATAAAACGAAGTCAATGTACTGCTTATCGTTGAATGAAATTGATAATGCAAGTGACATGAACTAACAAACAGTTCTTTTTTTACAATTCAAATCGCTGGTTGAATGAAATCAGTTAGTAATTATTCACTGTTGTTAAGTCAGTACTGTGTGATTCAGAATATTGATATTCGTGGCACGAAACAACAAAAGCTATTCCTGTTTGTAAACACATTATAACTACACGTCCTACTCCTCAAAGAATTCACACATTTAAAATCTTCATCCGAGCATTCTGTCTGACTGACTACGCATTTTTTGCCATTTTTACTGATGTGTGGTAATCCTAAATGAATTTATTTTTGCTTGCTTTCAGATAATCAAACAACAAAAAGAAAATAAAATTTAACGTTCCATTTATTCAAATCATTTTTCACAAACTTTGTTTCTTTTTAATGAATGAAATTAATAATAAATAGTTTAGCAATAAAAATGTCTGTTTATTTGTTACTGACAACTGAAACAATAAATCTTTATGCGTATGTGGTCTGCATTGACTGAATGAGAGATGATGAAATGTGTTACAAGGATATATTGGCGAAAGAAGATTTCCCTTATATATGATTCCCTTTATTAACCAGTTGTTGCTTTCGAAAATGCATTCAGATACGTACCGCTCAACTGTCAAAGTTGGATATACTTCAAGGATTTCGCTAGATTGAACTAAATTAGACTCATTGCATGTGTCTCCACCATGATTGAAAGTAAAGGCTACCTATACGCATGTGTTCGAAAATTCTCGGTCACAAGAAAAATGACTCGCTTTTCTACGGATGTATTTTGAAAAGTCACATTTCGTGCCATATATCACGAACACTATTCTCATTGTCATCGATCAGTCACGTGAATTTCGCCTCACAGCATTCCTATTTGGTTGTTTTCAGTTCTATCTCAAACCCTCAGATTCTCATCAACCTCTTGTCAAAACATGATACAGGAAATCAAATCCTTGTTCTCTGATTTCGGCTAACGAATGTGCACTTCACTACTTTAACTAGTTTTCTTTTCAGTCACTTTAAATCACATATTCGTGTGACTTCACCAATAGGTCAGCCAAACAACACGCTCATTTATCAATTACAGTCTAGAATAGAACTAGAATTTTTCAGCTAACTATTCGTACTTATTATTTATTCACAGATTCCTAATTGCAGCACCTTTATTATTCAACACATGAAAACTTAGCTTTCTAGGTATCGATTTCATATTTGTTGTGTTTTATTTCGTCAGAATCTATGATAGCATATCTGCTGTATAACAGATTTAAACATAAACACAAAAAAATCGTTCGAATGTTGATCTATCAGTTAAAACGCCGTTTTCGAATCGTTGAACCATATTTATATAGAAAGAAAGTGCACGTTTCGGTACAAAGGCCTAAAATGTTACTTTTGATCACCTTACCTTAATTGAGTTACCATGCTTTTAGTCGTATTCCTCAATAGTTTCAGCAGCCGTCATGTCGCGAAATGTTTTCAGCGAAGAACAATACACTGTTAAATAGCAGTCGCTTTTTTGAAATGTTGATTAGGCTACTTTTTCGCGATGGCTGAACTGCGGAACGTTTACACTAAAATGAATTGTAGTATTGTAGTGAATGAGAACACAGGTGGGGGCAACCGAATTGTATTTAACGCAAATTACAGAGTTAGTCAGTAAAATCGGAAAACCATATCGTAAATCGTTCATTTGCAAAAGATCAGTTCATCCTATGGAACTGGACTGTTCCTGTTGCCAAACATCAATCCATTGTCACTCTTCATGCGTTTCATACAAATTCCATTGTTTTCTGACTCTTCCTTTCTTGATCTTCCCCCCATATTATGCTACCAGACTTTACGTTGACACTCACGCTATATACTACTTATAAGTAGTTCGCAACACAGCACCACACTCGTCCCCCCTTTTAATAAGCTGTCGTCGTGGTCCTTCAAAACAGAGCTCCTGGTCAGTTAATATCACCTTCCGTATTCCGTGACACGCTACACTATGCCGGATTACCACTTCGGTCATCGTTCTTGATCACTGGTCTGGAATGGATACGGCTTCTATCCAACGTGTAGCGTCCACAAGTTCCCGATGCTGGAACATGGCGGCAGGCACACACTCGATAAATTGCGACGCCAAAGACTGTGCCCCGTCCACTCCTCACGGCGCAATCCGGTGAGCTCCACAGCAAGCACCAACAGGTCACCATCGGCCGACAGCCGCGCCAACCGGAACCTCTGCGGCGCCTCCTCCCTGTCCGCTGGGCTGTCGAACTCCATTACCAGCCGCCCGGTGACCGTCTCCCACGCCGTCTCCTTGGTGGCACCGTCCAGGCTGTCGTGCACCGCCTTCGCCTCACCTCCCCACAGCGTCCCCAGCACCGTCAACTCCGCCCCAAGCCCCCACCAGCTCCACCGTGGCCCCAAACTCCTCCAGGAAGCTCCGCCAATCTCCGTCCTGCAACTCCTTCGGCCACGGGAGCCCCTTCCTTCGAGCAGGCAGCGACACCAAATGTAGTGAATGAGAACACAGGTGGGGGCAACCGAATTGTATTTAACGAAAATTACAGAGTTAGTCAGTAAAATCGGAAAACCATATCGTAAATCGTTCATTTGCAAAAGATCAGTTCATCCTATGGAACTGGACTGTTCCTGTTGCCAAACATCAATCCATTGTCACTCTTCATGCGTTTCATACAAATTCCATTGTTTTCTGACTGTTCCTTTCTTGATCTTCCCCCCATATTATGCTACCAGACTTTACGTTGACACTCACGCTATATACTACTTATAAGTAGTTCGCAACACAGCACCACAGTATGAAACTTCGATTAAAGTTCATGGAAAAATGAACGTGCGTGAATTTCAGCGTGACTAAAAACTTCAAAATTAGGTTTTTTGGAAAACAAAACCAATCAGCGATCCATAGTTGAGAAAAAAATGTTTGTCCTACCGTCAATGATCGTACCGTTTAGGGCGGTTGTACATCGCGTAAGGTGAAACATGGCTCTCTAATTTTTGGATTGTCTGATGTGACGACCTTTTATTAGTTTACATGGTTATTCGTAATATTCGGCTGACCATATAAACTTGCTTCGGTATTTTGTTTAAGTTCTAGGAATAGTTAATCTTTAGTGACCAACTTTTAAACCACCTAAAAGATCAAAATCTGCAAACCCTATGTCAGATCAATCTTCACTAAGTAATCCAATAGTGAAACTCGTAGATATAAGAGATACTATACCCAAATATACCGAAACGTCTACACAGAAAAAACTTCACCATAATCTTGTA